CCCGGAGAGGCGAGGACCCAGGTGGTGGTAGTCGGAGCCACGTTCCCGATGGGGTTGAGCCAGATGCTGGCAAAGTTCACTGATGTGGGCTGGTTCATCACCCTCACCACCCAGAACCTGCACCGTCTGCTGCCCCATGTCCAGCAGAAGTTTGTCCGCCTCAAGGGCCAGGACAAGCTGCCTGAACTGCTGCAGCTACTCAAGGAGCGCCCAGTGTCTGGTGGGGCTGTCATCATCTTCTGCAACAGTGCCAGTACGGTCAACTGGCTGAGCTATATCCTGGATGACCACAAAATCAAGCATCTGAGGCTGCAGGGACAGATGTCAGCAGCTGCTAGAGCTGGCATCTTTGCCTCCTTCCAGAAGGGTGACGTCTCTGTCCTTGTCTGCACTGACCTTGCCTCGCGGGGGCTGGACACCAGCAGTGTGCAGCTAGTAGTCAACTATGACTTCCCAGACACCCTGCAGGACTACCTGCACCGCACAGGGCGGGTTGGACGGGTCAGAAGCAAGGGGCCTGGAGCTGTGGTTAGTTTTGTCACCCATCGATGGGATGTGGACCTTGTGCGGAAAATAGAGACTGCGGCTCGGAAAAGGATGGGTCTCCCAGGCATGGACTCCTCTATTAATAAACCTCTGCCTAAAACAGGTTGATTCAGGTTGCCAAGCAATAATAAATGGCCTGGTAGGGACTAAGCTTGAAGTCATTAAGGCAGAGCAAATGAATTTTGGTGTATAAGCTAGACTGAAGGAATAGAGAATTGTGCTTCAGAGCCAGGTGATGAAGTTTACTTTGTGCACTGTTCTGGAAGCTGCAGCAGTAATTTCCATGGGCATCACAACTCATGGCTTTCCAAAAGGAAGCTAGTGAGTGAGTCGTAAAATGTTTCAGAAGTGTGAGTGATCTCAGTTGATTTTGTATAATATTGTTAAGACTTAAATTCAAATTGGAATAAAATTATACCTGTATGATGTGCAGATCTTGCATTTCATTGTTTCCCACCAGCAGTTTTCATTATTAAAACTTAAAAATTACTACTGTGGCAGGAAAAAATACTGACTTGTATCTATAATTGGTCAAAATTGTATCAATGTAGAAAGACTAAAGGACAAATTATTTTTTTGTTATGTGGCAGTTCATTCAGAGAATTCTAGACCAAAGACCTCTAAAATTTAGTGGAAATGAGAAAGCAAATTAAAGCTTGAGGTTTTTTCAAGGTTTTAATTTGTTACTTTGTGGTTACCTTACATCGAGAAAGGCGATCTTGCTGCTACATGTTCTATTAAATTTAACAACGACAAAAAAAGCCTTTAAGTGTATTCTGCTCTTTTTTCCTGCATGCTGTAGTGATGTGTCCAGTCACTGAACTGACTGTAAAAACAAAAAAAAACAACCCCAGCGTACCAAAAAAAGTCTCCTGTTAAAGAAGTAACAGGTAACAGAATGACCGCAAGGTGTCTTATGTATCGTGCCATTGTTCTTTTCTGATTTGAACTGAAAGGATTTAAGTGAGGCTGAGGTAACTTCCTACCTAGCTGCTAGTTTGTATCTATGGTAAATAAGCACGCAAAAATAGCAGTTTAGCTCTGATTTCTGTTGCAGTGATTTATCTCAGCCTTTTCTTTCAGTGGCTGTTTTCCCCATGCTGTCCACTCTAGTCTGTTTCAACACTTGGCATGTAGAAATAATAAGCTGTTGAATGAAAAGATCACGGCATAGTATCTAAATCACTGGTTTCAAAGGAAATAGGGCACTGGAGCTCCTTAGTATACTTAGAGTGAGAACTAAACAGAAAAGCTGCACAGATAATCACTCAAGGGTAAGGCTATTTAACCTTATCCTAGAAATTGCGCGATTAAGGGGCTTTTATGGGATGTTACAAGCTGCAGTAAAATTATTCAATACAATAGAAAACTTCCAGCTTTATAGAAATGTAGCAGGAGTGATCCACTGGGAAACTGGAAACCTTTGTGTTTTGGACCCATTCATTACCCTGGACTACTTGCCTCTCATCTGTAGTTAATTTAACTGCAAATTAGGCAATTTGTGTGACCGCAAACAGAAGCTTATTGTTCATGTATAGTATTGGGGTAAATCCTTAAACAGAAATCTGGGGACAATTGTAGTAACATAATTTACAGAAAATCCTATTTCCATTTGCTAATATGCATCTTATGTTGTATCAGGTCCTCTGAACTGCTGAGGAGTAGCTTCCTTTACCTGTCGATACACAGATTAATATAACTGAAGAATCTCCAAGTAAGAAATTTTAACATTTGCTTGCCTGCTTTGCCTAAGCAATTTCAGGCTGACTGCATCTCAAGTATCATTAATTTGATCTTTTTCAGAGCTGCAGCACTTCACTGTATTAGCATAAATATTGAGTTACTGCATGCTTCAATGTCTTCCTTTCCTGAGGCCGCCTGTGACGGTGACCATGCTTCCCAGTACAGAGTTGCCCTTTTAAGTCTGAGGAAATTTGTTGCCTGGGACCTCAAGATGTCCAACTTTAAGTATTTGTCTTCTCATGTAGCTCTTATACAGCATGAAATGGATCAGTTGTTCAGGATAAAATTTCATAGCATTTGCAGATGTTGTGTGCTGTAATACTTTGCTCTATTACCTCCAATTTCCAGCTAAATAATGCAGCCAAAGTTAAATGATGTCACGGGAACAATAACTGCTAACACAAGAGCCACAAAATGGTGGCAATGGTTGTTCAGAAATAATGCAGCCACTTAACTTGTATCAGTGACTAAATGGCATTGGTGATAAAAGAGCAGGGTTTTTTCTTGAGTTAAAATATGTGGAAGGAAAATGGGAGGAAGGTTGACTTCTTATAAGGGGATGTGTGTGTTACAACAAAAATACTCTTTTAAATTTATTTTTATTTTCCTAGGAGCTTTTAAAGAGGATGAAGCTACAGTAAATAAAATTAAACTATAAGTAATTTTAACTTCCTTTTTGTAAGACCCTGAGGGAGCAGGACCTCACTTTTCAAGTTTAAGAAGGCTGAGGGTGTTGCTTTTCTCTCACTCTCTACTTCTAGCAAGGCTCAGAGTTTTTTGACTTGGGGGCCCTGAGAGCGTTTCCTAATGTCTTTGCAGGGCATCCAACTGATGTTAGGAATTTTTAGAAGTACTGATGGTAGTGGACAGTGAGCATTTTTTTACATATTTAATCCCTCCTTTTTGACGTACTCTAGCAGATGTACAGCAGGTGACTTCCCTCCTCTCCCCCTACCTGATTCTCAGCAAAATGTGTGCTTTTCAGCTTTAGTATTTAGTGTTTTTCATTTTTATTTTGTCATTTTAATAAATCTAACAATTTGCAAATATGCAGATAGTATCCTCCTCCTGAGGAGAATTGTAGAAGTAGCAGAAAAGCAATGGAGAAAAATGAAAACTTAGGCTTCATTTCAGCTTAAGGTTTACAGCCTTAGATCAATGCTTCTGTCAATAATTCCCTTGCATGATTTCAAGTGAACAGTATGTACTTACTTTCCTAGAAGAGGAATGATTAGATCTCATTTAATCATTGGTTTTAATGGCTGTATCTAGCAGTATCTGTCTGCTAGCGAAGACTGGAAGATTTCGTATCTCATTTTGAAGCACTCTATACCGTTCTATCATTATAACTGTTATGCTAAAATATGTAAATAAAAGTTAAAAGACTCAGGCTTACATATAGCTAACAGCAAAACACCCAAGCTGGAACCATCTTTTAGGAGAAGGGAAATATTTTTTTCTCAGCCTGCCCAAAATACAGCAAATACACCACCTGCTGCAAAAGTTCTGTATATCCTCTGCCCTTTCTGTGGCACTGCACAGTTGGCATGACTTGCCAGATTAAAAGTGTCTCCCAGGAAGTATTTCAGTGGTGACTCAGGTAGAGCTGGGCTCAGGAAGGAGATCTGTTGGATTCCCATTAAACTGGGAGGGCATTTCATGGGTCTACTGCTCCTCTTTTGATATTCTTTGTGGCTGTGTACTTTGAGTGAGATGGAGATTGCAGCATGTTTTAGTAGGTCTGCCCCCCCTATGGCATATGCTTGCTTGGCTTTGTGGGAAATGTAAAATGAAGGAAAATAAGGACATTGAGTACCAGAACTAATGAAGCAAGGTTTCCTAAGGACCTATGTTTTAGATGGATTCTCTGGTGCCCTAGAAGACAATGGTGGTACTACCAAAACACTTCTCTTCTGAGTATTTGCAGTTTTTCCCCTTTCAGTGGCTCTCCAAATACTTAATAAAGTTTCACTCTTCTAGAGTCTACTTTAGAAATGGCTTTTTCCGTCTTCCTGTATCAATGAGTTAAGTATTGCGTTCACAAATGTATACTGGCTAACAGAAGGCCTCTGTATTGCAGGCTAACTACCAAGATCATGTTCTGGAGATGAAGACAACTTGGAGAAATGACAGCATGCTCCAGAGAAGAGCAGAGTGACATTACTTCATAGCAGAAAGAATATAAGGTGATGAGAACTTAGTGCATAGCATATGGGATTGTAACAACTGATCGCAGTCCCATACATGAGGGCACTGGGAATCACTGCTAAAATATTTTAAAACAAGTCTTATGTTTATAACCTGGCTTGTTCAAAGGAGTTGGAGGTATGGGATGAAACTGCAGGAAATATATTTGTCTTCCAGGTTCTTCTGTTTCGCTTTAGTAACCGCCCTATAATTTTCTTGAACCTTCCCAAGATTATTTAGAACTTTAAAAACCTTTTTCTTTTTTTTTTTTTGTGATGTCAAAATACTTTAAAAGCCTCTTGCAGCTCTTAGAAATGGCTACACTTATGTGTGCAGACATAATTCTTTATTAAATATCTGGCTAGGGCTTACTTTATCCAATGGGGTTGGATCAGGACCTTCATATGCTGACCTTCCTAAGTAGCAGTACTAAAACTGCAGAACATGAGGGCATGCTAGAATTCTAATTTTCATTTCTAACATACATTTAATCTGATCCTGTATCTGAGTGAATCGAACAAATGTGTTTAAAGTATATTCCATTTGCTAGGAATGTGGAGGGAGCATTTTGAACAGACATGTTATATGGATTTCTGTAATAGCAGTTATACTGTACTATGCCACAGAGTGCATAATAACGTGGGGGAAGGCTAAAAGGTGCTTTCCATGGCAACTGCTTTTTCTTCTACTTGTTTAACCCTTCAGAAAAATCAACCATGTGGTAAAGAGGGATTTTCTCTATGTTGGACAGGCACCATCTTTGCTATGTTTACATAGGGCCTGCAGCAATGACCTCCTGCAATAAAAACTTGCGATTATTGAAGTGGAAAAATGTCTTTGGATGCTCTAACATCTTTGTGTTCCCTTTAGAGTAATTTTGTTAGGATCTGGTGGAGTTCTAGAGATTCAGGATGCAGATCTGGTCTGTATTTTGGTTTGAGGAATTTGAAACCAAAGAATACCTGCATAAACTAATTTGCCTTTGTGATGCTGTCTTGCCAGAATTCTGATGCATCGGCAATTTTTTTACCTTTCCTATTTAACATTTTGCACGCTGAGCTGCTACAAACAAATTTAACATTTTCTAGATTGGAGATACAATTATTTCTTTCATTGTGGTAATGAAATCTGTATTTGTTGTAAAAAGGTACGTCTGTATTTATGCTTTGACATCCGAG